TTTATCTCAATGTATGATAATCAAAGAATATGATTATGATTTTTCTTCTTGAAAATTTCTTCCTTTCTTTGTTTGCTTGTGTCTTATTATTATTATATTAATTCTCTTATTGTTTTTGTTAATGTTATTGATTTTAAGATACATTTTGCTAAGATTTGACAGACAAGAATATAAAAGATAGATGATTATTCATTGATACTTTTCCCTCTCTTTTTTTATCTTTTGATTACATTTTGACTTTTTGACTTTTTTTTAATGGATATGATTTGCAAGATTACAAATACCAGGAATAAGAGGCACAATTATGCATCATATCTTGTTATGATTTGATGTAAAATGGATTATATGTGTATGTATTTTATTTCACAGGTTTTACTTGCTGAAGAGGATGGCAAAACCTTGTACTGCCTTGGTATTTCATCCATATATGGAAAACATGCTCTTTCTTGCTACTGCTGCAACTAAGATTTATAGAATTAATGCTGGTAAGTTGTTTGCTTTGGGGTCATTATTACCAGATGAATATTTGTGGTCATGTAATAAAATATGTTTACTTTTTATACATTTCTCTTCTTTGAGCAACTTTGTCAATGCTTACAACATAATTAGACCTCTACTTTTCCATTCCTCCTCATTCTTCTTCATGCATATACCTCTTTTTCTCCCTCCCCTTTCTAACTGTCTGTATTCTCTTATCTTTTTCTCCGTTATTGTTCCCTTACATGCAAATTTACATTAAAATCTCATAATTAAATCTCTATCCCTCCCTAACCTCCTCACATCCATCCTTCCTCCCTTTCGCATCTCATTTCTCCCCTTCCCCCTTCTCTTCCTCTTACTCCTTCACACAGATGACGGCAGTGTCGTGGTCATGGAGGGACACACATCACCAGCAAAGGGAATCCATTCGGGGTCACGGTCACCACTTGTGCTAAGCTACAATACTGATGAGGTCTTCTTGTGGTCGTGGCCATCCCTCACCCTAACCAACAAACTGAGGCTGGAAGACAGGGTGGCTGTGGTTTGGGTAGGATACTTAGGGTAACATAGTTTGAGACAGACTTGGATAGAGAGAGGTGGTTGGAGAGAGAGGGAGAGAGAGAGAGAAGGGGACAAGACAGAGACCAGATGAGACAAGGTAGAGAAGGACAGAGAGGAAGAGAGGGAGAGATTGTTTATGAATGTGCGTATGCATTGGTTTTAAGTTAAGTTTGTGGAAAATGTTCTGCCAAATACTGGGGTGCTCTAGAATTAGTATGATTCATAAAACCAGTGATTTAGTATTCTCAGTGTGAAGATACATTTGACTTATTCTATTTGTTTAAGTGAATTATAAGTAGAATACTCAACATTGATAGCATATAATGACAGAGAGAAACTGGGAGAGAAAAGAACATTATCATGCATTCATTCTATTTCCCACATAGGCAGGACATGTTTGGCAGCGAGATGAACTGGTCGTGTGCTTTATTAACGGCAGCCTGCTACTCTGGCCTAGCCAAGACCTCTCTACACAGAGAACCATAGAACCTCCAAGTGGACTTGATTTTGATTTTACTGCCTTTACACTCTCAAGGTAAAGAACTATATTTTGGCTGTATGAGGATAGTTGTATTAATTTTCGTTATATTGTGGTCTCTGATTTTTTATTTTTTATCTTGATTTTTTTGTATATACAGGATTTTGGGGGGGGGTTGCTTCTTTAATCTTTTCCCTCTATCATGCTCTTTTTCTGTCTCCTTTTTCACATCTTGTGTGTCATTAAGATTTTCTGAGTTGCGAACTGTAATTGCAAGGTAACTTATTCAGTCAATAATGAGATCCATTATTACGTTAATATTTCTAGGAGTAGTTGTTACATCTTTGTCATGTTCAACTGTTAGATCTTACTTTATAACTGACAAGATCATAGAGCATTGTGTGACCATTTATATAGAAGGTTTATTATATATATATGAGATTGGTATGACTATTCTATATCTGAATCAGTGGACTAACTTTTTTCATACTCTAATTTTTATATGTCATAGAGGATTTATTTTCTAACTTTCAACATTCTTCAAATATATCATCACAATAATTTTTTTTTTAATGTGTCAGACAGTTTATTTCAAACATTTCATAGTAATCATTTTATTAGTACATATAGTTAGTGAGATTGTACATGCTTTGGATACCAGAGTATATTTCATTGTTATGTTAAAATAATGGACAAAAAGATAAAAATAGAATTATTTTCTAGGAAGGGTAAGATAGTAGTTTTTGTTAATAAATAATGGCTAATACTAAAAACAATTCCACAGCCCTTGTAATTTAGTTGGAACATGATATAGGATTTATATACAACACACATTTGCATTACCTCCAGGTCAACATTATGATGGCTGTTAGCTCATGTTTTCATGTAATGACAGTGTACATAGTATATATAAAGGGAAACATAAAGGATTTATGAACAATACTTTCTGCTTACAGTAGTGTAATGAGTATAAGCTGCAGAGTTCAGAAAGCAAAGTCTTTAATTTAATTTGAAAGTAATTTCTCCCCTCTTCTTAGACCTAGGCAAAATTCCTACAACTTCTGTATATATGTCTTTCCCCACAGTCACTCATTAATACCTGTAAGCCAAGGTTTGTAAGGCCTCCTTTTTTGATATTTGAGTTTCTGTCTTATTATATTAATTCATCAGCACCAGGTACATGCACTGTCCTCCATGATTCTGCTTTTGATTATTTTTCATACGTAGATGGCTTCAGACGTGCTTAGTCACCGAGCATTAATTTACTAGGTCTACCTGACTTGTCTACTGTTTTCTTGGATTTTCATGAATTTTTCAAAATACAGTTATTATTAATGTTAACATTGTCACTATTATAATTATTACAATGTTGTTGATAGTGAAAAAAAAGAAATGGGGGGGGGGGGCATTGGCATCAGGTAGGTCTAGTATTTGATTTTGTGACAAATAAGCACTTTTGGAGCTATCTTCTTATAAACAAAGTTAGTTATGTTAATTAACTACAGCTCATTTTAAGCTCAGTTGTAGCTGAGGTGACATGTATATGTATACTCCTGGTATCAACTGGTTACCATCTCCATGTTGAATTAACCATAGTTCTGCCTTATTTGTATATATAGTTCATTGGTATAATCCTCTTTTTATCTCTTATCTCTTCTAACTGCTTCCTTTTCGTAGTTAGATGTTTCTTTAATTTATTATTGTGCCATATGAATCCTAATATTTATCAGCAGTTGGATTATATCCAGAATAGATCTTATGTGCCCCTCTTCACCACATACTTACAAAGAAGATACTGATATATATAGGAAGGGTCTCCTATTGCCTTTGTACATCTTTGTAGCTGCGGTGACTTGAACTAGAGCTTTGATTTTATAATACTAGATTTCTCTTTTATGCTCATTTTAGATGCATGATTTTGTCCTTTGCATTTCATTTTGTCTTCTCTGTCTTTTTAAAATACCTGACTGTAAAAAGAGACAGCTGTTGCGTAGACTTCAAAATTCTTAGTCATAAGGTATTTTTTATACATTCGTGTATGTATGAATTTATTTATGTAAAATAAGCAAAATCATATTTTTATTTAGGAGTGGACCCTTTATACATTAATGTGTTTATATATTTCTGCTTATACTAACAACAATTATACAAGCATGTTCAGAGTAAGCCTTTAAACAGGATTTAGCAAGGCAGTAGTTGCATAAAGTGAAAACATATAGATATATTTTTACCCGTATAAAAAAAGAAGAAAAGATACACATGTTACATTGCCATTCTTTGCAATCTAGTAGTATTCATCACACCTCTTGATCTGTAAAAGAAAATGCTTGTACAAATGAGGCTTTTGGTTCACCCTGTACATAACTATGCTCTATAAGCAATGGACAAAACATTTATCTATATTGTTTGTGCTCACAAACAGACAAACACAGACTAAGCATATCCTTCATCAACCATTTTTTATTCCACTCATACAGTGGAGGGGAGTGGATCGTAGGAGGAGGGAAGAGCCACCTGATGGTGACCTACTCTCTGGTGGGCCGTCGGGTTTCACAGGTTGTCCAGCTGCCCTCCTCGTGCAACAGCGTCTACCAGGCCATCTTCCTGCCACCTGTGCATCCCAGGTTTTGTCAAGTGAGGTGCCATTTCGTTTGCTTCAGGAGTTGTGGAGGTTTTTGTGGTGTTTAGTGTGGGAACTGATGTTTCTTGGGAAAGGCTGGGACGGAGGGGGAATTGTGTTGAGATTATGTGGAATGTGTGTGTGTGTGTGTGTGTATGTGTGTGTGTGTTTGTTTGTTCTTACCTAGAGGTTTCAATTCAGGAGAAGAGCTGAGCTTAGAGGGTCCCATCTGCAATATTTAAATTTTCGTATAACTCTTTAAATTGATGCACATTTTTGACACACACAACATTTTTTTGAAGACTGTTCCATGCTTCAATAGTTCTGTTTGGCAAACTAAATTTCCTGATATCCTTATGGCCTCTTTTTACTTTCAACATTTTATTGTGTCCTCTCGTCCTTCCTGTGTTCAAAATTATAAAGTCATCTTTGTTTCATTTAATTATTCCTGTAATACGGTTGAACAGCATAATCATGTCCTCCTCTTTTCCTTCTTTCTTCCAAAGTAGTAAGTCCTAGTTTCTGTAGTCTATCTTTGTAGCTCATATCTCTTATAGTAGGTACCCATCTAGTAGCTGCTCTTTGAACTTAAGTGTGGATTCCATACCACTGCACCATACTCTTGACTAGGTCACATGATTTCTATAATGTTCTTTCATTTCATCCACATAGAAGAATGTGTGTGTGCATGCGTAAGTGCATGCATGTGCACTTGTGTGGGTGTGCATGTGAGTGTGAATGTGCATGTGCATATACACATGAGTGGGTATGGGTGTGGGTGTTTGTGGGTGATTGTATATTTTAATTGCTATTACAATATTTAGCTTACTGGGAAAAGAAAATAATTAATTGTTTACTGTTATTATTATTGCAGGTGTTGGCCATTTTAAACACAACAGGAGTACTTAACATCATTGACTTCACAAGCATGACAAAGATCAAGACAGTTCGATCTCAGAGGTTCAACATTGGTAAGGAAACTTTGGCTTTTTACCTTTATATTGAGAGTGATTATCATACAATTGTGAATTACTGGAAGTCAGAAATAAGTTTTGATTTATGTAAACTGTTTGTAAAGTATGGAGAAAGTTATTATATTTATGTTATTCACAAAGGGTAAACTATAAACTTGTTGACTATCTTAAACTATAGAATATGAATATTATCATGGTTCACATGCATCCATGCACATAAACACCCACACACACTCATCACTCACACTCCACTCACTCACTCACTCACTCACTCACTCACTCACTCACTCACACTCAACACATTCACTCACACTCACCACTCACTCATCCACACACTCACTCACTCACCCACCCACACACTCACTCACTCACACTCACATACTCAATGTGAAAGCATAATATGGCAGTAATCAGTCATGTCTCTATTACTTCATTTTTCCTCCCCTTTCCCTTTCTTCATCCCTTCCTCCTCCTTCACCTTTCTCCGTCTCTCTTGCCTTCCTTTTGAGGCTCCCCCCTCTAAGAAAGATGTTGATAATGAAAAAATAAGTAAATTATCCCTCTCTTTCCACAAGATTCAGTTAGTGTGAGTGAAGATGGCAACTTCTTGGCAGTGTCATATGCCAACAGCATCACGAAGGTCTACCCAGTCAACGCCCTATTCCCCGAGGACCCTAAGAATGTTGAACTCCGCAACATAAAGAAGAGGGACGTTGAGTTCAAGATCATTGAAAAGATGGAAATCCCTGAGAGGAAGGAGGAAGAAGGAGAGAAAGATAAGAGGAAACGGGAAAAACACAAGGAGTTAAAGGTTTTGTTGAAACAATGTATATTTTTTCTTTGTCATTACTTCTTTTTTTTTTTCTTTTCTTTTTAGAAATTAATCTTGAAATTTTTCCTATTCCTTTTATGTTTTTTTTTTTCCTCCCTCTCTTTTCTTTTTTTCTTTTTCTTTGTCCCATGGTATATGTATATATTTTGTAACTGCTTTATACCTGTAACTTAAGATGCAAATATTTGTATCCTGTAATATGCATAAATTCCTTTCAATTTGTTTGAACCGCCACAGGAACTACTAGACAGGAACAAATGGTATCCTATCCTTGTGGAATTCAAGTCATACCCTGAAAAATACCGAAGCCTAATCTGGGTATCCATGCTAGAGTTACCACGCAACTACCTTGTGTTCAGCACACTGCTCGACAAGGGGATGCACTCAGCCTTCGAAGGGTTAAAGGAGGTGCTCAAGTTGTCAGATGGATCGTTACTCAAAACTCTCCAGGGGTGACTAAGAAATACTTTTCGTTTGTCTCTCAGTTTAAGTTCATCAGTTTGTTATCCCTTTTTTTCTTTCTTTCTTTCTTTCTTTCTTTCTTTCTTTCTTTCTTTCTTTCTTTCTTTCTTTCTTTCTTTCTACTTCTTCGCTCTCTGTCCTTCTCCGTCTTTCACTGTTTCTCTCTTTCTCTGTCTCTTTCTATGTCTGTACCTCAGCATGTGAGTTTAAAGTTGTGTCTCTTTATTGGTAAAGAAAGTAAGGATAGCTAATGGCTCATTACAAGAGAGGGAAGTAAGAAAGAATTTCTAATAAGCCTGAACTCTTTTCATTTATTATACTTTCCTGTCCTTCACCTCATTATCCACAGTTGTCTCCCTATTGAATAAAGCAAAGGAAGAGAAAAGAAAAGGATTTTTAGGAATGAGAAAAGAAAATTATTATAATGAATCTTTTCCAACAGCACACTCTCTTGCTTGGCTCACTGGGCTCCTTTCCTGTCGAGTATAGAGTACCTGCCAGAGCTCATCTTCCCCTTCGTTAAGTTCTTCCACAGCAACCGGCTGCTGTGTTTTGAGGTTGCTGTGACATTCATCAGTAAGTTTCCGTGTGTGTGCGGGAATGCATTTTTATTTTGTTGTCATGGTTGTTGTTTTAACATGCCTGTCACTATGATTATTATATTGGCCATCAATACTGAGCAGTGCATAGTCATCAAGTTGATTTTTTTTTTATTATGTTTCTAATTGTTTTTCATTGTGCAATGATGAAAAGTTATATATTGTAAATGCAAAGAAAATATTGCTTCCTTCTGTAAACCCTACCCTAATCGAGCCTGATTTCCTTTTACTGTGCAGTGAACTGGTGTCGTTTATGGTTTGAATTCTGGCCTAAACCTAGTGTCACCGTCCTAACTGTGATTGAACGACTGATCTGCGAGAATGACCCAGTCTTGCTTGCACACTTAATGAAACTTCAAGTCACAGCTGAAGATTATGCCTGGTCATTACTTACAAATGCCTTCTCCAGGGTATGTCTTTTTCCTCCTCTCCCCCCCCCCCCTCTCTCTCTCTCTCTCTCTCTCTCTCTCTCTCTCTCTCTCTCTCTCTCTCTCTCTCTCTCTCTCTCTCTCTCTCTCTCCTCTCTCTCTTCTCTTCTCCTCTCTCTCTCTCTCTCTCTCTCTCTTCTCTCTCTCTCCCTCTCCTCTCTCCTCTCTCTCCTCCTCCCCCCTCCTTGATTAATATATACTTGATAATATAACAAAAAAAAGAATAGTCATACCCAACCAATTCTCACTTAACTAGAACAACTTTCAACCATCCAAAACCTCACACAAAAATTAGGTTCTTTCCAACGAAGACTGGGTAGTACTGTGGGACCACATCTTCTCCAACCCGCCTTCATTCCTGCCCTGTGCCGCTGCTGCATTTACAATCAAGTCACGCCACACCCTCTTGACCTGTGAAGATGCCCAGGACGTGAAGGTAACCCCATGTGTTAATGGCCTCTTAACTGAATATTGTTGCTTCATAATAACATGATCTATTAATTATGCAATATGACTGAAGTATATGCTTATCTATAATCTGTCTTATAAAAGATAATAGCATATTATTATCTTTTTTACTTGCATCCTTTCACAGACCTATTACAGTCAAGAAGCTTGGATTTCAGTCAAGCATATCATAGACAAAGCATACTTCATATACCAAAACACCAGTGCTGAGACCCTTCCCAAGGAACTCTTTGGAGAGCTGAAGCCAATGCCCAAAGGAGGCCTGCCCATCTTCAACATTGGGCCAAGGGATGCTCGCGAAGAAGAGGTTAGGAAATTAACTCGTTGATGTCACCATGGCATAACCTGCCGTGTTTACTATCATTATCATATCATTAATAATCATTATTATTATTTTTATCTTTTTTATAATTATCATTATTTTTATATTATTTTATCAATTAATCATTATTTTATATTATTATCATTATTATTTATATTATTTTATTATATTATATCTTTTATACTTTTATAATTAATCAATATTATCATTATCATTATTTTATGATTATTATTATATCTTCATTAGTACTTTTATAGCATTATAATTATTATATCATAGTTATTATGATTACTGTTGCTATTATTGTGTGCTTTTTCAAGCTTAGATTATATTACATTCGATAAAATGAGCTATGCTTGGTGTAAATGTATGAGATTAGATTTGTTTAGACTAAGTCTAAGTTTGAGTGTGTGTATATAGTTTGACATGGTTTTAACCAAGATAGATTTGATTTTTATTATTTACAAGTCAGGCTAGGCTTAGTCTAGATTAAGTTCAGTAAGGGTTTGGCCGGATTAGAAAAGATTATTTCAAATTAAATGAGGCTTGGGTAGATGCAGTTTGATTAGATTAGGTTAAGGGTATATCAAACTTGGCTGGGTTCAGATTGGGTTAAGATTAAATTTAGTTGAGATCAAGTGTGACCAGGGTGGAAAAGAGACGAGTTTAGAATGGACGAGACTGGGTTAGAATAAGTGAGATTAGGTTAGAATAGACGAGTTTAGTTTAGAATAGATGAGATTGGGTAAGAATAGGTTTGACTAGGGTAGAATAGATGAAATTGATTTAGAATATATAAGACTGGTTTAGAATAGGTGAAATTAAATTGGAATAGATAAGATCAGGTTAGAATTAATGAATTTAAAACGGATTAAGTCGAGGTTAGTTGTAAGTGAGGCCAATTCGTGCGAGAGTTGAGGTAGGCCTGGTCAAGGGTGATCTCAAACATGGATGAACATGTTTTCATTGGGTGTAGCATAGTGTGTATTCTTATTGTTTAAGGATTGATTGACATATTATTAAAGTTACATCTGCCAAGTTAACTGCTAATGAATATTTGTGATTATGCAGAATTTCTAGTAGACTAATACCAGATTTTCTTCATTTCATTTCTTCTTGTTCTGTCATACTGTCACCATTCTCAAACCAGCTGGTATTCTGATATTCCAGAGGGGCAATGTAGAGAGGAAACTGCGCAATTTAAGCCTGCGGACAGAGGCCCTGAAGCATAAGCAGAGTAAAGCTACAGAGGATACATCTCGTCTGGCTGAAAAAGAGGAAATGGGTGAGACTTTTTCTGCTTTTTACTGCTTCGCGTTATGTTCCTGATATAACTTGATTTTGTAAGATGACATTCTCTTTCTCTCTCAACCTCTCGCCCTCACCCTCACCCCATCCCTCTCCTTTTTATTGCTCTTCCTCCTCACACAATCTTTTCTTTTCAGTTTTTTTTTTTTTTTTTTTTTTTCCTTTCTTTTTTCTCTTTTTTTTTTCCTCTCCCTCTTGTTCTATTCCTCCTTTCCTTTGCCCCTCCATCTAAATTCACATCATCCCATTCCAGTATATACGATCGGAAGGAAAGACCTCGAAAAGCAAGAGGAGGAGTGTCTCAACAGCATTCTCAACTTGCGGAAAAGGCATCTCGCAACGGCAGAGCTTGATGCTTCTTAAGGCTGTGTTGTATTTGGCCAGTGGTAGATTCGCAATTAGAGGTTTGATTTATAATTCACAATTTGGAGAATTTTTTCTATGTGAGATGTATAAATGATTAGTTTTGAAATCATGAGTCAAAATTATGTGTATATAAGCTATATGTATATATTTATAATGTTCTACTTCAAGAAGATAAGGTGAATCTGCACTCACCAATATGCTTTAGAAGTTTCTACCTTTGTCATAAAGAATAATGAGCTGTACATTTTGATGTAAATACTTAGTTATTACAAGAGATCATTCCAAAAGTACTCAAAATGTTCATCTATTTATATTACAACACTTCTTTGTTTCACTTCCTGTGAAGTTTTGTTTTAAATATATAGCTGTGTAAAGCCTTTCACGCTTTCTTTTTCTAGATCTATTCTTCCTAAGGGATAGCTTCCCTCTGACATATAAAAGAGGTATTAAAACTTGTTCTATCACAAATTCAAAGGGGAAATAATTGGCAATATAAAAAATATGTACATATATCAATAAACTCTGTTTTTTTGGTAAAATAATTTAGTGTTTATCTTTTTAGTGGGTTCCATGCATTGTGGCTGCAGCAAACACGACAAAACAAAACCATAGCTCTTTAGTACATGCACAAGCAATGGATAGGAGTCAGCACATTGCTGGAGAGGAAGAATAAAACACATGATTTCATGTAATAACCCTTTCTATTTTTAAGAGCAAATACAGAGAGACTCTTTAATATGAAACAGAGAAATGATATAAACTGCCAGTTCTTCTATAGATCATGCCCATTTTGTTATGTTAAAGCTGGCACTGTAGATCAAGTTCATCATCAGTTATATATATATATATATATATATATATATATATAGAAGCATAGGAATCTGAAATATAAATCAGATCTTTAAGCAAGGAATCTGAATATATCCGTACAAAAGCTATGTATCATTATTTTTTATTTTAAATTCTTGCTTTCAATATGAAAATATTGGATGTGCTTCCAAGAGAAAAGTTAAGATTGTGGAATATACAATGGCACTGTCCTGTACTATACAGGTTACTGTTTATAGAAAGGAAAATAAAATTATGTTTATATATATAATGCTTTGTTTCATGACATCTTTTTTTTTTTTTTTTTTTTTTTTCTTTTTTTTTTCTTTTCTTTTCTTGTTTTTCTTTTTTAAGAACATGGATATTCAAGCTGAATGAGTCCTATATAATACACTTCCAATTTGTGTTCTTTCTATAGTAATATTTCATAATTTCCTAGATTCCTTCCACATACCTCTTGTGGAATTTTGAAAGCTTTTCCATTGTTATTACTCTTCCTAGTAGACTAATCTTAAATTTCATATTCAAAATCACTTATATTTAGATATGTACTAAGTATCAGTCTAATACAATCTGGAATATAAATGCATATAGTTTAGTTACTAATTATCTCAAGACTATATAGACTTGCATACTTGAAATGTAAATGAACACACATAAATTAAATAACTGAAAGAAAAAACAAGATAATGCACTATTAATACAAACACACACAAAGAAACACATGCCTGTGTGCATATACATACAAGCATACATACTTATATACACTCACTCACACACGCACGCATGCACCCCCCCCCCCACACACACACACAATCACAATCACACACACAATCATCATACACATAATCACACGCATACACACACACACACACACACACACACACACACACACACACACACACACACACACACACACACACACACACACACAACACACACACACACACACACACACACACACACACACACACACACACACACACACACAACACACACACACACACACACACAACCTCACTCACACACACACACACACATCACAAATCACACACAATCATATATATACATAAATATATATATATACTACATACATATATGCATACATACATACATATATACATACATGTATGTATGTATGTGTGTGTGTGTATGTGTATGTGTGTGTGTATGTGTGTATGTGTATGTGTATGTGTATGTGTATGTGTATGTGTATGTGTATGTGTATGTGTATGTGTATGTGTATGTGTATGTGTATGTGTATGTGTGTGTATGTGTGTGTGTGTGTGTGTGTGTGTGTGTGTGTGTGTGTGTGTGTGTGTGTGTGTGTGTGTGTGTGTGTGTGTGTGTGTGTGTGTGTGTGTGTGTGTGTGTGTGTGTGTGTGTGTGTGTGCGTGCGTGCGTGCGCGTGCGTGCGCGTGCACTTGCATGCATATATCCTGACAAACACATACAGGCATGTATGCACACAATGATAGCTAATAATAATAATGATAATTATAAAAATTATCATGATAATTATAATAATTATGATAGCTATAATAACTGTTATAATAATTGTAATAATAATGATAATTATAATAATTATGATAATAATAATAATAATAATAATAATAATAATAATAATAATAATAATAATAAAACTCACTTAATCAACATCCATCCGTCAAGTGCTGATGAAGAAACGAATATTACAAAATACCTTAACCATAATTCATAGTGAAAGATCATACATTTTCTTACACGAAAGGCAAACTTGGGGAAAAGGGTTGAC